TTAACACAAGGTTATAAATGTATTGTCCCGAATCATCTTCTATGATGTCATTGCTCTGTGTTTCTTCCCATTTATGTCACAGTCCTCCCCACATTGACTTTGTATGTGGTATGAGGGAGGGGTCCCATTTTGTACTTTTTCAGTAGCAATATCCAGTTGTTCCAGCCTCATTTTTTAAAAGATTTTATTTATTTATTTATAGAGAGAGGGGAAGGGAGGGAGAAAGAGAGGGAGAGAAACATCAATGAGTGAGAGATACATGGGTCAGTTGCCTCTTGCAAGCCGCCAACACCAGTCTTGCCTGGCAACCCAGGCATAATGTGCCCTGACCGGGAATCAAAAGGGCAACCTTTGGTTTGCAGGATGACGCCCAAGCCACGAACCACACCAGCCAGGGCCTGGCATTGCTCACTGAGAGACTGTCCTCTCTGCACTGCTGTGCACTACTACTTCCTCTGCTGTATCCAACCCTCCAGATGTGAGCACCGTCTGCCTTAGGCTCCTAGTCCATCCATCCGTCTGCCCTTCAACCTCCTTTTTAATGACTATAGCTGTTTGAGGAGTCTTGCTAGGAATATGGACATCATTGTGTGTGATGAGAATCCCTCACGTGGGATGGTTCTATTCCCCACCAGCCGTTCATCTCAGGGTCTCTATACCATCAGTAACATTGCCTGAATCAATAATTTCATGAAGAGTTACAAACTCTTGCCAATATCACCGGCTTCACTAGCCTTTTGAACCTGGTGAACCCAGAAGCCCTCCAACTTCAGAATAAAAGTGATGTCCTCTAGTGGGACCCGAGCAGACTATGTGCATTTGATTTTCAACTTATTGCCATGTATGAACGCCATTGCAGGTGGGCTGTTGCTGTGCCTCTTCGTGATGCCTTCAGACATGGAATAGCTTCTGCTGCTTTCTCTCTGTCTCGTCAAGTGAGCTTCTTGGAGCTGACCTCCCCAACACCCCATCAGGTAAGAACTGATGGCTGAAAGCTGCCGAGTGAAGAGTGTCAGGTGTCAGAACACCGACAGGAGAATGTGAACTTAAACAGCTGGACCAGAGGACTTGGGTGGGTTGTGCAGTGACTGAAAATTCCTTTCATTCCAGTATTGTTTTCCCTTTGCAGTGGGACTTTGAGGCTGCTCTCCTCCCTAGGGGGAGTCTGTCTCTCTGCCCCTCTGCATTTGGGCATCAAATGCTTTGATCCATAGAATGCGGCAGAAGTGAGATGTGGGAATTAGATGTGATGTAAGGAAGCCTTCTTGAAGGCTGGGCTGCTGTGTGGAAAACTAGCCAACAGTCAGCACCCATTGCCCAATATGCCAAAGTAGCCATATTGCACCTTCCAGCCCAGCCCCTCCCCCAATCCTCCAGGTGCCTATGGTCTCATAAATTAGCCCAGGTAAGATCAAGACAGGAAATGCCCAGCCAACCCCTAGAATCAAAAAACAAAAAGATATAGTCCATTCACTCTGTGGTCAGCAGAATAATGGCCCCAGCCAAAGATGTCCACATCCTAATTCCCAGAAGCTATGAAAATATGACCTTCCATGAAATAAGGTCTTTGCCTATGGGATGAAGTTAAGGATCTTGAGATGGGAAAATTATGCTGGATTTCTCAGGGCACCCAGGATCATCACGAGGGCCCGTGTAAGAGGGAGGCAGGGTGGTCAAGAGTCAGAGATGTGATCCAGAGATTAGGCCCAGGAATGCAGCCACCCTTAGAAGCCCAAAAAGGCAGGAAATGATTCTCCCTGGAGCCTTCAGAAGAAACCAGCCAGCCCAGGCCTGGATTTTAGCCAAATGAGACCCATTTCAGACCCCAGAATGGTGCAATAATAAATGTGCTGTTTTAAGCCACTACTTTTGTGAAATTTTGTTACAGCTATTACACATCCCCAGACATTTTCCCCATGTCCCCCCAAGTCTTTATATGTGCTTACAGATAACTGAAACTACTCACCAGGCAACTGTTTATATTATACATAACCACATAACATTAGGGATTATTATAAGGGAGGCGAGAACAAAGTTACTTCCCTGTCTGTCATTAGCAAGAGGTGTTCAAAGTGGCTACCACGGCCAGCTGCATCAGTTACATGCTTTTAGCCACAAGTAACAGAAAGCCTGATTTTACTTGCTTAACTTCATAGAGACGTTTATTAGCTCAGAAAACAAACAGCCCAGGCCAGTGCAGCCTCCAGGCTTAGTGCGGCCAGAGAAGCTCAGCAGCGTCGTCTCGGAGGCAGATTCTTTCCATTGCCCTATTTTGCCATCCTAGGGGCCAGTCTACTGTTTTCTGGAATCCTCCACCATGTGAACTCATCCTCTCATCTCAGTGGCCAACATTGGTCACATGCCCAGTTCCTGGGCTGATCGGCCAGCTGGCCGGTCATTCATGCCAGGACAGCTGCTGTGACCTGAGACCTTAATTTTCAACAGAAGTTCTTTTATTTTTAAAAGGTTTTGTTTATTTACTTTTGGAGAGAGGGGAAGGTAGGGAGAAAGAGAGGGAGAGAAACATCAGTGTGTGAGAGATACATTGAACATTGATCAGGTGCCTCTCACACACCCCCAACTGGGGACCTGGCATGCAACCCAGACATGTGCTCTGACCAGGAATTGAACCAGCGACCTTTCAGTTCATAGGCCTGTGCTCAATCTACTGAGCCACACCAGCCAGGGCAGAAGTTATTTTAAAATACTTTATTTATTTATTTTTCAAGAAAGGGGAAGGGAAGGAGAAAGAGTGGGACAGAAATATCAATGTATGGTTGCCTCTCATGCGTCCCCTGCTGGGAACTGGCCTGCAACCCAGGCATGTGCCCTGACTGGGAATCGAACCGCGATACTCTGGTTCACAGGCCTGCACTCAATCCACTGAGCTACACCAGCCAGGGCAGAAGTTATTTTAGATACTGTTGATATGACTATTATGATCTGAACTTATATTCTATGTTGACAGATAAAACAAATAAGAAATTACACAAGTTATAATAATGATTTTAAGAAATTTATATGGTTTACTAAATGATGAGAGAAAAGTGTAAAATCATTTCTAAAAAAGGGGTCTGCACATATTTTCTATAAGAGACCACAGAATAAATATTCTTGACTTCACATGCCATAGGGCAACTGCTCAAGATTTTTTTGGGAGGCCAGGGAGCAGGTAGACAGAAAGCAAATGAATGGGTGTGGCTACATGACAATAAAACTTTACTATGGCCTTGGCAAGGTGGCTCGGTTGGTTGGGGTGCTGTTCCAGTGTGACAAGGTTGTGGGTTCGATCCCCGATCAGGGCACATGCAAGAATCAACCAATGAATGCATCAATAAGTGGAACAACAAACTGATTTTTTTCTCTCTCTCTCAAGTCAATTTAAAATTTTTAAATAACAGCTGGTGGGCCTGGCTGGGTGTAATCACTAAGGATACCTGTTAAGGAATATTGTTAGAGCTACACTGGAAATAGCAATATGAACTCACAGTCTTTAAAACTTATCAATTCAACCTGAGCACTGAAGTAGCCTTTAATCGGTTTCCCACCAAAAGTCTGTGTGCAATAATTGGAGAGGAATCCCCAGTATTAAAAACGCAGTCTTCAATACTCTTTCCCACTTCAAGGAAGGAGGGTTCTTATGGAAACATAATAGCTGATTTTATGTTTTGGGGCAAGGAGGTATAATACAGGCTGGAATATTTTGTTGTCAGCAATCAAGGATGTTTCTCCAAATTCTGGGAGGTGTTGAAGGCACACAGGAGCCCAGCTAAAGTTATCTTTCATCAACAACAATTACAGGTAGCAAGCCCTGGCTGAGTGGCTCAGTTGATTGGAGTGTAGTCCTGTACAACAAAAGGTTGCAGGTTCAGTCCCCAGTCAGGACACATACCTAGGGGGCGGGTCCAATCCCTGGTTGGAGTAAGGAAGGCAACTGATTATTGTTTGTTTGGTTTTTTTTTCTCCCTCTCTGCCGTTTTCTCTCTCTAACATCAATAAACATATCCTCAGTTGATAATTTTAAAAAAGATGCTGCTCTTTGTAAAACACAAAACAAACAAACATAAAAAACAAATACACTAGCTGTTTATGCATAGTAGGATAATAGATGGTATTCATTTTTCCTATATTTTTCTGGCATTTGCAAGTTCCTACCTTTTCCATACATGCATTATATAAGGTGAGTCTGCAAGGCGTTGACCTACAAGAGCTGTAGGATCCACAGGGACCTGGCCCAGAGCACGCTCCTGTGTATCTGTTGAGTCTTGAATGCACAGAGCATCCAATACAGCAGCAGTCTCCCTCCCAGCCTCAGTTTGCCCCTCTGTACAGCAGAGGTTCCCTCCAGTGGGCAGGCAGACCGTCCAGGGCTGAGGGCTGGGGCCCAGGTTCCCAGGTCTGGGATATGGACTCGGTGGTCCAAGCTCGGGTGGAGTCTGGATTTGGGCTTTGGGTACCTGGGCCAGAGATCAGGATCTGGTTCCCGAGATTGGGTTCAGTGTCTGGGCTTGGGGTCTGATGCTTGAGATCCGGAGCAAGTGTGGGATCTGGAGCAAGTGGGCTGAGGCCTGAGGTCTGGGATGTAGGATCTGGGATGTGGGGACTGAGGTTCAGGACCCGAGTCTAGGATCCGAGGTCTGAGGCCCGGGGACCCAGGGTCCAGGATTCGGGATCCAGGGTCTGGAGTCTGAGGCCGGGAGTCTGAGGAATGCGATCTAGAGTCCGGGGCCGAGGTCTGAAATGAAAGGTCTCGAGTCCGGGGTGCGAGTGTGAAGCAGGAGATGTAGCGTACGGGGTCCCTGCCCGAGGTCTGGGATGTGGAGCCCGGGGTCTGCTATGCCCTTCTGGACAGGCCCCCGCTGCTCTTTCATTCCCTCCCTCTCCCTCTCCCTCTCCCACCCTCCTCCCTCCCCACGCCCCCTCCTCTGCCCCCTCCCGTTGCCCCTCCCCTCCCCTCCCCCTCCCTGCGCCCGCCCCCGCCAGACAGGCCGGCCCCGCCCGCCCCGCGGCGCCGCACCGACAAGATGGCGGCGGGTGGGAGCGGCGGCCGCGCGTCGTGCCCGCCGGGTGTCGGTGCGGGCACGGGGGGCGGCCCGGGTCCCAGCGCCAACGCTGCCCCCGCCCCCGGCAACGCGGCCGCCGCCGCCGCTTCGGCTCCCGCTGCCCCCGGGACGTCCCCTCCGGGCTCGGGGCCGGGCGCGCAGGCCGCGGCGGGCGGGGAGCGGGCGGCCGACGAGCCGGGGGCGGCGGCGCTGCTGCGTGAGCCCGTGTACAACTGGCAGGCCACCAAGCCCACGGTGCAGGAGCGCTTCGCCTTCCTCTTCAACAACGAGGTGCTGTGCGACGTGCATTTCCTGGTGGGCAAGGGGCTCGGCGCGCAGCGCATCCCCGCGCACAGGTGGGCCGCGCCGCTCCGGGACCCGGATCCCGGACCCCGGGACCCACCATCCCCGAACCCGGGACCCCGGACCCCTCCTCCCAGGACCCCGGACCCCTCCTCCCAGGACCCCGGGACCTGCTATCTCCGGGACCCACCATCCCCGCACCCGCCACCCCGGGACCTTCCATTGCCATCACCGGGACCCCGGACGGCCTATCCCCAGACCCCGCTTCCCAGGACCCTCCATGACCCCACCAGGGCCCCTAAGTCTCACCACCTGGACCCTAGGACCTTGCCAGATCTCCGTTATCCCACAGGACCCCTCCAGGACCTCCCCTGCCTTCAACCACCTTCTGCAGGCCCAACCTTCACTGGGCCCTGTGACCCTGCCAGGCCCCCACCCAACCCACAACCCCGAAGTACTAGCCCTCCCCTCTTCCCAGGATCCCCATCAGAAATTTGTGGCCCTATAACTGTCCCCATCCCTGCCACCCTGGCCAGGATTTCCAGGCCCTGTTACCCCCAGCAGCTCCTTTACCCTTGGGCCCTGCCATCCTGCCTCAGAGACCTCCTCCACACTGCTGCCCCCAGAACTCTACCAGACTCCCCCTCATAAACCCAGGACCCCCAGACTCCTAAATTATGTAGCCCGCCCCTGAGCCAGCCCCCTGGCTCCCCCAGCCTCCAGACCTTACCCTAGCTCCTTTACCACCCCCCAGCTTGGACCCCCAGTCCCAGAGCCCTTCCAGCCCCCTGACCCCAGGCCCTGGACCTCCCCAGCCCTTTGCCTCCCAACCCCCAGGCCTCCTCCTCTCTGGAAAACCGGCAGAGGGGCAGGCCCCATCCCTCTGCCGGTTTCAGGGTGCAACCCTCAAACTCCTGGGCTGGGTGGGCTAATGTCAGACACTGTCCTGCCCACTCCTGGTCCCTCTCACCCTGCTGCCCAGCACACCCCAGGGACCTCGGTGGGGAAGGCTCACTGGGGACCACATGGGGGAAGGGGAATTGGGGGCTTTCTTGCCTCTCCTCTGGCAGTGTCCCCCAACGTGCTGTGAGGGTCCCCCACCTCTTTGGAGCGTGGTCAGTAATCTGTGCCTTTGAGAATCTTGCTGGTTTCTTCTTAGCTACTTGGGTACAAATGAGCCTGGATTCCTGTCCTTGGAATGTTCCAGGCCTGTGGTCAGGTCTCCAGGACCTACCCTGGCTCCTCCCTGGTGTGTGTGTGTGGCCATCTCTCTCCCGTCATCCGTGTGGACTGCCCCTCTAAGCTTGGAGTGGGGGTGGGGCACTGGTCAGTCGCCACCTGTGATTCCCTCCTGGACCCCTGGCCTTCCTCATGCTCCTCCTGTTCCTAAATACTGCTCAGTCTAGTCCAGGCTGTCCTGCCCACCTGACCCTACCGGAGCCCTCTGGGGAGGGGCAGGGCAGTGCAGCTGGAAGCCCTTTCCCCCCAGGGCATCTCAGGGTTTTGCTTGAGGGCAGTGAGGGGGCGGGGCTCCTGCTCTGAGTGCCAGCTGACCTTGGGGACAGGTGCTAAGTTGTGCTTGAAGGTCTGGTGGCTGGTGGCAAAATGGGGACAAGAAAGGTGGGCACAGGGGCCCCTGGAGAGAAGCAGAAGAGGGGCCTGGCTGGTGGCCCTGGAGCCTGGGCTGTGGTAGGAGAGGGAAGTGAGGAAGGACAGGTGTGACCTGTAGTGACACTTTCTGAGAGCAGTAGGGAGACACAGGGCCCTGGGGGTGATGGCACAGCTGCCCTTCTCCAGTGAGGACACCCCTGAGCAAGAGGTGCTAAGCGGGACAGGAAGGGGCGTGCAGGGCTCCGGGTTCAGGGAGACGAGGCGTAGAAACCAGAGGGGCTAGGCACATGGGAGACCATGCAAAGCCTGGGCAGAGGAAGCAAGAGGCACCCTGGGCCACTGGGACCACATCTGCTTTGAAGGGTAGAGTGGGCCACAGATACCACTGGAGACAACTGGCTTGATGGGGGCAGCAGACAGGTACACAAAGGGTTCGGCATCTCTGGGGGAGGCACGTTCCTGTGAGGTGCTGAGGGGTAGCTTGGCAGCTGAGGGAGCGTAGGGGCCTTGGCGGGGTTTCCTGGACTCCTGGCCTGAGCACCCCAGGGGAGGACAGGCATGGAGGCACACACTGTCGGAGGGACTGAGACACCCCAGAGAGATGACCAGAGGCACTGGGACCAGAGGAGTGTGCCTTTGGGGTCTGTGGTTTGCGAGGGTCCATAATGATGGAAGTGGGTGGGTTGGTCTGGGGCAGTGTGTGGATGGAGCAGGAGGGGTGCTTAGGAACGATAGCAGGGGGCCACCCTGAAAGTGGGGTCTTGGGTGCAGCCTCTTCTGGGTGTGGGGGTGCATGCTCGCATCATCAGACTGTCCCACCCCCTGGACCTGTCACTTTCTTGTGGCACTAGCTTCACAAGGCCCATGTCACTGCGGGCTCTCTGCCCGGCTTCCCTGGAACACAGCACAGGTGCACATCGCCGCTTCTGCAGCTGTGGGTTGCCCCCCTGGGTCCTGAGAGCTCCCAGGCCCTGGGTACTTGATGTCTGGACGGTGTCAGGGCCAGGCCAGTGGCACTTTTCTTGTCCCATTGCCTTGACATTGATGCCCCATTCTATGGATCCCCTCCACCCTGTCGAAGGTTCTAGTTGTTTTTCTTTTTTGGTTTTGGGTGATTATTTTATTCAAATTTGTAAAAACTTTACCTGTGGTAGTCAAGTGGGTGACTGCCCAGTGAGTGACCCTGGGTTCCTTGCCCCTCGGTTTCCCCACCTGTGACCTGGAACTGCCACTCAGGTGCCTCTGTCCTGGGGCCATCGGGAGGAGTGACTCCATGACCCAACCATGTGCTTATCACAGCGGCCCAGGGCTCCACTAAAGGACTGGGGAGTTTAGATGGAGGCGGGGACATGGCCCAGTGTGGAGTTAATGTCCCGGCGGCCAGGCTGGTGGAGAGCCGGCCGTGAGTGAGTGGGGCAGAGGAGTGGCCTGGGGCGTCCTGGTCGTGTGGACACTGCCCAGCTGACTTCGTTGCCACTCCTCCTGAGGGGGCTGGATTTGGGAACGATGTGAAGAGTTGAGTGGAAAGCAGAGCCCTTCTCAGCCAGGTGGTCAAGGGTCACCCTTGGGGTGATGCCTGCCTGCTGGACACCCCTGGAGCACTTGACGAGAAGGGTGCCTCACCTGGATGTACCTTTGCCCCCAAACTGTAACCCTGGCGTAGTGGGCTCAGTAGGGGCACCCCTGCAAAAATAGACATGTTTATATCCTAATCCCCAGAACCTGTGATTGGAACCTTGTTTGGAAAAGGGACTTTGCAGATGTGACTCAGTTAGGGGTCCCAAGATGAGCACATTACCCAGGTGGGTCCCAAACCCAGTGACAGTGTCCTTGTAGGAGACTCCCAGAGGAGAGAACAGCCAGCCCTGCGATGACAGATGGAGAGACAAGGGTGAGGTGGCCACAGGCCTAGGGACACGGGAGCCCCCAGAGGCTGGGAGAGGCAGGGGGCCTCCCCCTGGGCCTCTGGAGGGAGCAGGCCGTGGGACACCTTGCTTTGGGAGTCTGGCCTCGAGGACAGGGAGAGAATAGATTCCATTTGCAGCACTTCGGGTAGCAGTCCTGGAAACCAGTCTCTCGACCGACTGGTCTAATCAGGAGAAAGCACACAACAGCCCGGCCTGGACGTCTCCTGCAGGAGCCAGCAGTCGCTCCTCCAGACTGCCCGGGCGTGAATACCAGCGAAAGGTGGAGAAAACGTCACAGCCTGGGCATCCTAAGGGGACAGCTACATGCCACGTAGGATGCGAGATAGGGTCCTGGGGCAGAAAGTGGACATTACTGCCAGCACTGGTGACATAGCAACAAGGCCTGAGAAGGACTTTAAAAAGCAGAGAGGGAGGGGCTTATGCTAATTTTAAGGTGTGGTCAGGAGCCACCAGCTCCCAAGGCCCAGCTTAGGGTGGTCATGGCTGAGCCTCAGAGTGGCCCCTGCTCTTTGGGTGCAGGGTGAAGTGGGGCCTAGGACCCCGGAACAGAGGTTGCCATTTGTGATGGCGGAAGGGGCCAGCCCTGGGTAGGCAACCGTCCTGTCTCCTGCTCTGCTCGGCTTTGCAGCCTCTGTCCCCCAGCCCCATGCTGTGTTTTTTCATACTGCTGTTTTCTTCTAACTTTCCAAAGCTTGAAGTCTGTACTGTGTTGTGATTGGTGGGCTGTGGGCGAGGCTGTGCCCGTCCCCTGTCCTGCATCCCCAGTGCCCAGGAAACTGCTTGGCATACAGTAGGTGCTCAGTAAATACGCGTCGGCCCTACCTGCTAGATCCAATGTGTACATTTTCAGGGCTTCGAGGCATTGTAAAGGTCTTCAGGGAAGCATATTTGTGGACACACACATCTGGCACTTATGCAAAATGAACTCTGAGATCTCTTTCTTTGCTCTCATGGAAAATGTGGCCACACTGAGGGATCTGGAACATGGGACAGTTTGTTTCAGGGCTTCTTTTGTGATCTGTGTTTGTGTTAGTCCAGCGACACCTTTTTTTTTTTTAAACACATAGGCTTTCTTTTGTTAACTTAGTTTTTAATTATTTTTTAAAGATTTTATTTATTGACAGAGGGGAAGGGGGGGGACAAAGAGAGGCAGAGAAACATGACTGGCTGCCCCACACACGCCCCCTACTGGGGACCAAACCTGCAATCTAGGCAAGTGCCCTGACCAGGAATCGAACTGGTAACCTTTGTGGAATGACAGGCAACCCACTGAGCTACACTGGTCAAAGTGTGACACCTTTTTTGATGACAGTGGCCCTATGGTGTGTTTGAGGATTGCTGAGGAAGTTCTCCCCAGTTTTATTTTGTGTTGAGACCTTTGCAGCTGGTCTGATAGATTCCGCATGGACTCGTGTGGAATCGATCACCCATTTGTCCATCCCTCCAGCCGACAGCCATGGAGACATGGCGCCGACAGAAAATTGTCTCCCTGTGGAAGGCGCCTTTGTGCCCAGCAGCAGCAAACGTGTGTGAAGAGCCAGATAGGAAATATTTTTGGTGGGCCACAGGGTCTCCAGCCCAGCTGCTCAATTCTGCCTTTGCAACGCAAGAACAGGAACACGGATGTGAGTGAGGATGGCTGTTTCCAGTGAAACTTTACAAAAACAAGTGGTGGGCCAGACTGGGCCCGAGGGCCGAGTTTGCTGGCCCCTGGTATAGTTATTCCTTGATTTTGTGAATCAGTTGGTCAAGTACTAAAGCAATTTAGTGGGGAATTGGTCTTCCCAGAGATGCTGCAAGAACTCACACTTAAAATATGGAGTATTGCCTTGGCTGGTGTGACTCAGTGGATTGAGCCCTGGCCTGTGGACTGAAGGGTTGCTGGTTCCATTCCCGGTCAGGGAACATGCCTGGTTTCGGGCCAGGGCCCAGTTGGGGGTGTGAGAGAGGCAACTGATCACAAGTTCTCTTCCACATCATGTTTTCTCTCCCTCCTTTCCCCTCTGTCTAAAAAATAAATAAAATCTTTAAAAACATATCTGGAGTATGTCTGGGGGTGTGAACTCTTTCTCCAGGTACCCCGGGCGTTTTCTTGGTGTCCTGGTGAAAGTTTTGTGGTTTCTAGTGCTGTACGGCTCTTGCACGTTTACTGCTGAGTTCTTGCCTAGGTGTTCTGTTATTACTTCTGTTGGGAATAATCTTTTCTCCATTATGTTTTTTTCTAGCTGATTATTGCCGGGAAGCTATAGATTCTGGGGAATATCTATTTTTATATGATTTGAATTTATTTCTGAGCCCTCTTAGTGTTTATAATCATTCAGGGGACTCTGGCCTCCCCCCATGCAGCAGACTTTTCCGTGCCAGTGGGAATGTTCTAGACCTGTGCTCTCCACAACTAGCCATGTGCGGCTCTCAGGCACTTGAAATGTGGCTGCCGCAACTGAGGACTTGACCCTTTTAGTTACTTTAATTTTCATTTAGACTTTGATAGTTCTGTGTGGCCAATAGCAACCATATTGTCAGTGCAAGCTTAAAACATAGAGAATCTTTTTTATGGGCAAATCACTTCTATCTCTCGCTCATATTTCTGTCCCTTACATTTTTTCGGTTCTTACTGTATTTCTGACCCCCAGGGTGTTGTTCTGTCACAGGGGGGACAGCTGGCAGCCCTGGTGATCTTTGTAGTTACATGCGAGCCTTGAGATCGGTTTCCCACAAATTCTCACTGACAAGGCAGGGAACCTTCACTGTGTTCCCTGTTTACTCGGTTTTCAGGGAGTGTGGGTGTGGGGTGTGTTACAGTGCTTTGCTGGATTTGGGCCCGTTTGATCCGACGACCATGTAGAAAGTTTACCTGGCTGTCAACTGTCACAGCCCGGTTCTAGTGCATCCATCACCCTGGAAGTGCCCTGCTGCCAACCCGAACCCCAGACAACTGCCGATCTCTCTGCCCTCCATCTCTCTGCTTTTGCTGTTTTAGGGTCGTGTTTTTGAGATTTGGTGATGCTGTCGAGCGCTAAGGCAGAGTTGCTGTTTATTGCCAGATGCCACCATTGGGGGGGGCCGTGGTGTGTCCACTCACCATTGATGGGTGTGTGAGCTGCTTCCTCTGCATCGCTGTTAGGAACAATGCCGTCGTGAACATGCGTGTACAGCTCCATATGCAGATGCGGTTCCTTTTGTCTTGGGCAAATACTCGGGCGGGAAGGGTGCGTTGCAGGCTAGCTCTTACCTTTGACCTTGTAAGAAACCGCCTTCCCACGTAGCCATACCGTCTCCCAGCCCCCGAAGTCCTGAGGTCCCGTGGGCCTCGTGGGTGAGCTGGAAACGCTCCCTTGTCTAGTTTCCAGAGCAGCATGTGTGGGGGGTGGTATTTCCTCCAAAATCCTTGCTAGAACGCTGTGCAGCCGTCTGGGCTGGGCTTCTCTTTGGTGGAAGATTTTCTCTTTCTTCACAAGTTGCTTTGGCAGTTCGTGTCTTGCCAGGAAATAGTCCGTTTCATCTAAGTTGTCTTAACTGGTTGCCATGAAGTTGTCTGAAAACTCTTGCGCCATCTTGCATGTCTGCAAGCGACGGCCCCTCCTTCTGTCCTGGCCCTGGTAGCTTGTGCCACACTTTGCTTTCCTGGTCAGTCTGGTTAAAGCTTTAGTGATTGATTTCTTTTCAAAGAACAACAATTTTGGTTTCCTTGGTGTTCTCTGTTTTCCCATTTCCAATTTTCTAAATTCCTGCTCCTGCTTTTATCTGTTGTTTCTTTGAGTTTGACTTGCTCCTCATTTTCTAGATTCTCGAGGTGGAAGCTTACCTTGTCGAGGTCTTTATTTAGTAAGGACACGATATTTGACCCCTGAGCCCTGGGAGCTGCATCCTTACACTTGGACGTGCCGTGTCTTCATTCTCCAATGTCCCTTGTCTTCCTTTGGTGACCCCTGGGCTTCTTGGAAGCGTGTCACCCCACTCCCAGCATCGGCGATGTCTCAGGTCTCTCTGTTGGTGATCGTAGTCCCGTCCCTCGGTACCTGGAGAGTGTGCTTCCCCTGCTGGCAGAGCTTCTAAGTGCGTTTGTATGGCCTCACGTGTGGTCTGTCGTGCATAGTGTCGTGAGTGCACCTAAAGAACGTGAGTCTTCTGTCCCCAGATTGAGGTTCTGTGAAGGCCGTTCAGTCAAGTTGGCGGATGCCGCAGTCCGGGCTTCGGTGCCCTCGCTGCTTTTCCGCTGTCCTGTCCGTCATCGAGAGCGGGCGCACCAGCCTCCCATTGTGGCTGTCCAATCACCTCTTTCCCCTGCGAGCACTGTCCTGCCCTGCGTGTTTCGGGGGCACCGTGGCTGGGTGTGCACGTGTGCGGTGGTGACCTGTTCCTGGTGGGCTGCCCCCTTTCTCCTGGACTGTTCCTCATCCTCGGGTCCATTTTGTCCAATGCCACGGCAGCCCCTCCACCCTCTCACCGTTTCGGCCTGCAGGGCATGTCTGTCCCATTTTTCTGTTTCCACCTCCTTCGTGCCTTTGGGTGTTAGGCAGTGATGTGTGTCCTCGGTGCAGCCTGCCAGGAGGCCCGCGCAGTTGGTCGGTCCTGTTTTTGCTGATGTTCGCTTACACAGAGGCAAACAGGGAGAGCAGCCTTTGGTCCAGAATCCTGGCCCGGTTTAGTCTAAGGTGGGATTTGTCGGGTGCTATGTGAAGGGTGGCCCAGGCCCGAGCAGAGCACATGAGGCTGGTGGCTGCTGACTTGGGAGACTTCCGAGTGGGGTTGCTGCTCAGGGACTCCGGGCAGGGATGTGATACAAGAGCCTTGCAGAGCAGGGGGCAGGCGCTCTGCAGCAAGCAGGCGGCTGGGCTGTGGCTCCCGAGCCGTCTCCGCTTCCCTGGGGAGAGGCTGCTGTGGGGCGGGTCCTGGCGGCTGAGGATGGACAGCACAGAGCTGGCGGCACTGTCCTTGGTGTGGTCACTACCCTCTGGCTCCCACGGGTCCTCAGCTAGAGGGAAGGTTGGGTGCTCCTCTCAGCCTGTTTTCACCCACTAGGTCCTCCCACCCCTGGAGCTAAAGAAGACACAGGCAGGTAGGCTGGAGTGGCTGAGTCATTGCTGGCAGAATTCACAGGACTCCCCACAACTACTGCCTCCCAGTGCCCCTGCCATTCCCTTGACCTCTGTGCCCTGTCCCACACACTCGGCCCAGCACAGGTTCCCCGCCAAGCCTGTCCTGACCCTCACTCCCCTCATGGCCCTGTGTTCGTCTCCTTTCTATCCCACTGTCAGGCTGTCTGCACCCTTGACCTGTGTCTGCCTCCTTCCAGGAAAGCAGGGGTCCCAGTGCCCAAAGCCTGAGCGCAGGGGAGGTGTGTGTAGAGCAAGTGATGAGTGAGTGAGAGCATGCATGAGTGAGTGAGTGGTGGCTCAGTGAATGGACGGATGGAAAGCTGGCAGAGGGCATTAAGCCGTCTACCACGGGGGACATGACTTCAGTTCTGGCCTTGAGTTGCTATTGGTCCATTGAATGGCCTTCTTGCTCAGCGAGAGCTGAGCCTCCCTTCTGGAAGCATCAGCCACCAGGAAGCTCTGGGCATGGCATCTGTTGGTGGGGGGCAGCTGGCAGAGGAGTAGGTGCTATAGTACCTCCTGGGGTCTCCAGTGGGGAAGTCTCTGGTGGGGATACTTAGGTCACATGTCCCCACCCCTTCTTTCCACAGCCCAGGCTTGGGTGATGGGGTTAGGCAGGGCCACAGGAAGGGTAACCAGGTCTGCTCTTCATTCCAGGTTCGTGCTAGCCGTGGGCAGCGCTGTCTTTGATGCCATGTTCAATGGGGGCATGGCCACCACGTCCACCGAGATCGAGCTGCCCGACGTGGAGCCGGCGGCCTTCCTGGCGCTGCTCAAGTAAGGCTTTCCAGGGCCTCTTGACGGGGGGACAGGATGGACAGCCTGATAGTTTGAAATGTCAGAAGACAGACAGGGCTCAGGGAGAAAATAAAGACCCTGGTGACATCACCTCCAAAGCCCTGACTCCCTGGAGTTGCCTGGAACTTGCCTGCACAGTGAGAGGTGGCTCTGGAGAGCCCCACCCTGTTTTAATTTTTGTATTTTCAAAATTGATATTTAATCCATTTACCACATGTGGTGGTTCATTCATTTAAGGTGTGCAATTCAGTAGTTTTCTAATGTAATTTACAGATGTGTGCAGCTGCCTCCTGTATCTGGTTCCAGAACATTCTGTCACTCCAAAAAGAAGCCCCATCCCTGTTAGCAGTTACTGCCCAGCCCCCTCTGCAGCCCCCAGCAACTGCAAACCTGTCTCTGGATGTGCCTGTGCTGCACGTTTGACGTAAATGGAATCACACGCCCTGTGGCCTTCCGTGACTGGCCTCTCTCCTGAGCACCGTTTCTGAGGCTCATCCATGTGCTGGAATGTTGTTCAGCCTTAACAAGGAGGGACATTCTGGCAACTGCTATGACGTGACCGAACCTTGAGGTCATTGTTGAGTGTAACAAGCCAGGCACAGAAGGACAAACACTGTGTGATCCCACTCACATGAGGTCCCCAGCGGAGTCAGATCCACAGGGACAGGAAGTGGTTGGTGGAAGCCAGGGGCTGGGGGAGGGGAGTCAGTGTTCGATGGGGACAGAGTGCCAGTTTGGGGAGATGTGACAGTTCTGGAGATGGATGGTGGTGATGGCTGCGTGACAGTGTGACCATGCCGGTTCGGTGGTCCCCGCAGGGCACATGCAAGGAGCAACCACTGAGCACCGAAACCAGTGGGACAGCAAGTCGATGCTCCCCTCTCCTTGTCTCTCCCTGCCTTCTCTCTCTCTCTAAGTCGGTTTTTACAAAACGTGAATGTGCTTATTAACGCCACTGTGCCGGGCACTGAAAAATAGTTAAGGTAGTAAGTTTATGTTATGTAGACTTTACTGTGCTTTTTAAAAAGTAAAAGAGATATCCCCAAACCCCCCAAAACAGGTAATGGGCTACAGTCCCAAAGCTGGACTTGGGGCTCACTGTGTCTGTCCCTGCATCTGTCTCCCCGTCCGTTTTTCTCTGGGCTTTGATCAGTCCCGCTCGGGTGCCCTCCTGAAGAGGGTGGGCCCTGTCACCATCAGTGTGGGAGTGGCTCACTTGTCCTTCCGCATGTATCTGGGCCTGTCCCCATTCAGGGTTTCCTCTGCACTGCTGACTAGGGGTGTGGCCAGCCTGTGGGGGGCTGTCCTGGGCACCTCGGGGCCGTGCAGCGGCTCCGTAACCCAGGGACACCAGCTGCTGGGCTGTGTTGGGCTCTGCTGCGCTTCCACCACCGTGTGCAAGACTAATTTCTCCGTGGCCTCACCATTTTTTGTCAACCCCAGCCTCCAACCCATATGTAGGGTCAGGTGCTTGGTCACAGTGTCCACATGTGTCTGCGACTTGCCCATTCAGCTTTGCCATATGGCCTGCTGTGTAGGTCAGTAGGTGTGGAAATGACCCTGTGTCCCCAGCAAACTCGTGGTGGCCTTCAGCCCTGGTGTCTCCGCTTGGGAAAGGAGCGGACCTGCAGTGCAGGTGTGCTCCCCGTGTTAGAGCATGCATGCCTCAGCCGCTTACTGGCTTTCCCTGGCAATAGCCTTTGCAGATCACGTCTGCAGGCCAGAGGGCAACAGATGGTTCTAGCAGGTCCCTCAGGGCCAGGCCAGTGGGGTAGAGGTTGGTGTGGGGTCTTGCTGGGGCCCTGACAACACCGGGGTCCCTAGGGTCCTGCCTCATGCACATCCCCATCCCGCTCAAGGTTTCTCTACTCGGACGAAGTTCAGATCGGGCCTGAGACAGTCATGACCACGCTGTACACCGCCAAGAAGTACGCGGTGCCTGCGCTGGAGGCCCACTGCGTGGAGTTCCTGAAGAAGAACCTGCGGGCAGACAACGCCTTCATGCTGCTGACGCAGGTGCGGGGCCCGGGTGGGGGTGCCTCAGCTTTTGACACCCTGGAGGGTGCCCCGACCCCCTGCCCTGATGGTCCCCTTCATTTTCTAGGGGGCCTCGGCAGCTCCTGGCAGGCATGGCTCCCACGTTCATTTGGCTGCAGGTTTCCCGCTGTCTTTGCCCTTTATTCAGGGGCTGAGGTGTGGGGAGAAAGGCACCCACATTTCTGTGAGAAGGTCCCTTTTGGGCTCCGTGTGGTCATCCGGCTGTGGTAGGGCTGTAGGGGACCAGGAGGCCTGGGCACAGGTGGGTGTCTGGGGTTGCCGTCCCTGGCCGGTCGTAGCCAGGTTAGATTTGCAGACCCCTCACTGAGGTGGGCACCTTGGCCCTGGGCGCTGATGGGCCACTTGCCAAGTCACTCTGAAGGGCCAGAGCCAGAACTGTTGTGGGGGCCACTCCGGGTCATCCGCTGAGATAGGGGCCATGGGGGGGTGTGCTCCTCAGGCCCCAGGAGGAGAACAGGGCCAAGGGGTCAGGGTGTCGCTGCAGCCCCACTTCCTCCACACAGGGAGTCAGACAGAATCTTCCTTCCTCCTTGGCCCCTGCCCCATGTGTCCATTCCTGAAGGAGTGGCTTCGGAGGGCCAGGCACAGCACTTTCATGTCCTGCGGTCACTCATGGCCCTCTTCCCAGGGGCTCTCGCCTGATCCGAGTAATGGAGCCCACCACCCCAGGGGTCAGCCCTGTCTGCTGCCCCTGCCTCCAGCCCTGGACTGCCAGGGGCCCCTCTTCAAAGGTGTCTTCCTGGAGCAGGGTCCTTCCTTCACTAGACCCACCCACCTCACCCCAGGCCACGGTCACTACAAATCTGTGAACTTGGAGAAAATCTTCTGTTCCCTCGAGCTGGCACTGTGAGAGCACCCAAGCCCCAAGACTTAACATTCCTGACAAGTTTTAAACCACAAAATCCATCTTGGGTCCTATCTCGGGGCTGGATGTTGACCTGCTGTCCCTCACAGGCTCGGCTCTTTGACGAACCACAGCTTGCCAGCCTGTGCCTGGAGAACATCGACAAAAACACGGCCGACGCCATCACCGCGGAGGGCTTCACAGATATCGACCTGGGTGAGGCCTGTGGGGCACCTGGGGGGTCCCCTTGTGCCACGGACTCCACCATCTCGACGTACGGTGGGCACGCTCCCTCCGCAGAGGCCCGGGTGGTACCTGTGTTTGGCCTCACCAGCCAGACGGTTTCTGCCTGGCCCACGCCCCTGCTGCCATCTGTGATGAGACGGCAGGTGGGCATGGCCACAAGCCGGTGAGGCCTCATTCATCGGCAGAGGCTGTGCATCGTGTGCGGACAGTCCCTGGCTGAGGCCATGGCATCCACATTGACATGGCTCCTCTGTCCCATGCAGACACGCTGGTGGCCGTCCTGGAGCGGGACACGCTGGGCATCCGCGAGGTGCGCCTGTTCAGTGCTGTCGTCCGCTGGTCTGAGGCTGAGTGTCAGCGCCAGCAGCTGCAGGTGACACCCGAGAACAAGCGGAAGGTCCTGGGCAAGGCCCTGGCTCTCATCCGCTTCCCGCTGATGACTATTGAGGAGTTTGCCGCAGGTAATGTTCAGGGGACCGGGGTGGGGTGCTGCTCAGGAGGAGCGTGAGCCCTGGGGACCTTGTGTGTGACTCAGTCGAGTGTCCCGCTAGGTCTGGCATCAGCCATGTGTTGGCCCAAGAGCCCCGCTAGGGACACAAGTGTGCCCCTCTGTGCTGACGACACTCTTCTCATTGATGGGGAGCTGGGACTGTGCACAAATGTGTAAACGTGGAATGACCCCCAGATGCCGTGCATCCAGCCCGCATCTTGGTGTCTCCTTCCCTCTGTGCTTCCTGTGTCCACATGCAAATGTGTGAGTGTACCAGCCACTGGGGGTCCCCATCTTGGACTCATACCCTGTGGGCTGTGGCTTCAGTATCCTTGACAAGTCTGTGAAGGGGTAGGAAATGGCCATGGTTGCGGTGACCCTGTTACAAGACCTAGGGTGTGGGCCGATGTGGGGCTGGCCCTGATGAGCTGCCCACCCCATGAGGACGCCCACATCTTGGGGCTCATCGGGCAGCCACGGAACCCTGGAACCCTGTCCTCCGGGCTGGGCCTCCCCCTTGTGTCAGTCTCCTCCGGACTGGTGCTGACCCCGGCGTTGGAGCCGAACAGGCCTGGAAGGTTCCGTGTGGGGTCTGTGATGCAGCTCTGTGGTCAGTGCATATCAGCCACCCTGTCTCTCCCAGGCCCACGCTGCCCCCCGGCCCTGCCCAGGTTTAGGGTCACCTGATTTAACAACAGCAAACATGATTGAGCATATTTCCCATGATGCACTGGCTGGGATGTGCATGTCCTACAGGTGCGTCTTCTTTGATCTGAAAGTCAGACTTCCTGTCTTGCATTTTATCAGGTGGTCCACCGTGTTACATGAGTCCTGGGGTGATGCCCCAGAGAATGTCTCTGCATTCTGGGGACACCAGGGCTGGGTTACTCTCTGTGGGAGCAGTGCTGACCCGGGCACTGTGGAGTGTAGAGCAGCACCCCTGGCCCCCACTTGAAGCAGGAGCACCCCCAGCATGACAACTACAGATGTCCTCATACCTTGCTTGGTGTCCCCTGAGGGAGAACCCTGGGGACAGCATTGGACTGTCCCATGCTGAGGCACCTGTAGGAGGCTTGCTGCGTATTCCCTCTCCATACTGGCTTCACCCCCAAAACAACTCTCCTCAAGGTTCCCCAGCCGATCAGGATGACAAACCGGAACTCAGGCCCCTGAGACACGGCCCACCTTCTGGAAGTGTCACTCCCTCAAGCCCTGCCTCTCTGCAGTGGGCTTTGAGGGACTTCTTCTCTTTGTCCCTGTGTATTTTAGAGAATGCCCCCAGCTGAGGTTCCACTGGAAAATACCAGAAGGTGGAAGTTTGAGTCCTCCTAGCTCCATGTTTCACAGTTGAGGTCGGATATAGTTTTCTTTCGACACTTTCTATGCAGAGATTAAAAGACGGTGGTCAACACCCTGCATTCAGTTTTCTGTCTTCCTTATTCACTGAGCCCATAGATATGCTGTGTCCCATCGTGAGGGTCTCTGCTGGTGTGCTGGGCTGCAGGAGCTCTGAGCCATGCTGTGGTGGGCCTTCTGCAAACCTGGGTTCTGAGCTGGTAGATGAGTGATTCTTGTAAAGCTCAAGGCCTGTGTTGTACCTTCTGTTCTGGAGGCAGAACAGCAATAGGAAGGGCACATATAAGGTCCCCACCAGTCTGTTTTGGCTTGTGGCCTCCGCTGTCACTGTCCGGGGTTCTCCTGCCCTGGTTCCCGGCCTGTCCAGGGTAGGTCCCATCATCTCCCCGTGTGTGCCACTGCTGCGTGGCCAGAACCCCCCAGCCACTTCTAGCTGGGAGTCACCCCTTAGCCACTAATGGCTCTGAGTGTAGACAGGCAGGGTGCCGCCTGCTCTGTCGACTGGGGGGGGGCCTGAGGGGCGGTCCTGGCGCAGGCAGTCAGGCCTGGGGCCATGAGGAGGGATTCTGTCCAGTGGGCTAGTCAGAGCACCGCTGCATGTCTGTGTCAGGCCCTGCCCCAAACACCGAGGCAGAACTGCCCCATCTTGGGGCTGCCTGGACCCCTCATGTTTTGCAGAAAATTCAATGTCTTCTGACAGATGCTGTGGACTTGAGATGCCCACGCATTCTGGTGTCTTCTGTGCCCTGGGGGGTCACCCCAGCCTTCCCCACCCTGCCTTTCCCCAGCCTCAGGACACACCGCACCTCGGTCTTACCCATCACTTCCTGTGCCCACAGGGCCCGCACAGTCGGGCATCCTTGTGGACCGAGAGGTGGTCAGCCTCTTCCTGCACTTCACCGTCAACCCCAAGCCCCGTGTGGACTTCATTGACCGGCCGCGCTGCTGCCTCCGCGGGAAGGAGTGCAGCATCAACCGCTTCCAGCAGGTGGAAAGCCGCTGGGGCTACAGCGGCACGAGTGACCGCATCAGGTGGGTGCAGAGCTGGGCTGGGCACTGGGGTGCTGGGTAGGAGGGAGCGGGGTTGCCAGGAGTGAGACACAGGTGAGGAGCACAGCTGCCGGGGAGGCAGCCCCGCCTGCTGGGAGGCCTCCAGAGCCCAGGGGGGAGGAGGGGCCCCCGGAGGCCTCCGTGCCTGTGCACTCCCACCTGCTTACGGGGTGTCCCGAGTTTAGTGCCTGTCTCTGTCCATCAGGTTCTCGGTCAACAAGCGCATCTTCGTGGTTGGCTTTGGACTATACGGCTCCATCCACGGACCCACGGATTACCAAGTGAACATCCAGGTACCCGCGGCCTTGGCCCCACCTCCACATCCAGGTCCCATCCCCAGGTCAGGCCCAACCCCAGACACCACCCCATGTCCCACCCAGGCCCTGCCCCTCCCACTGTACCCCACCTTTCTCAGGAGCACCACCCCAGATTCTCCATCTCTCCCTTGTTAGGGCTGTGCCAGGACACACCGTAAATGGAGGGAGTGTTCTGGCATTTGAGGGACTACGCCCCCAACCCCATGGGCGTCGTTATGGGTCCCAGGCAGGACCCTGCCTTGTGGTCTAGGGTGAAGTTTAGCCTTCCCTCCTGCCTCTGCGGGGTCCCGTGGGGGGAGCAGGGGACCGAGGCCCCAGGTGAGCCGTGCCTGGCCCCGGCCCTCGCAGATCATCCACACAGACAGCAACACCGTGCTGGGCCAGAACGACACGGGCTTCAGCTGCGATGGCTCGGCCAGCACTTTCCGAGTCATGTTCAAGGAGCCAGTGGAGGTGCTGCCCAATGTCAACTACACAGCCTGCGCCACGCTCAAGGTGTGCCTGACCCTGACCCTGCCCCGCCCAGAGCCCTGACCCCACCCCAACTCTGCAGTAAACCCCGATCCCCAAATACTGCACAGAACCTCAGCTCTGACCCTGAGCCCTATTCATTTTGACTCCACCTGTCTTTTTTAAAGATTTTATTTATTTATCTTTAGAGGGGAAGGGAAGGAGAGAAGGAGAAAGGAGAGAAATATCAATGTATGGTTGCCTCTCGTGTGTCCCCTGCTGGTAACTGGAACTGGCCTGCAACCCAGGCATGTGCCCTGCCTAGACATCGAACCGCGATCATGTGGTTCACAGGCCTGCACTCAATCCACTGAGCTACACCAGCCAGGGCGCCACCTGTCTTTTATCTTTTATTTTTTTGAAGGGCATAGGACTCTGGTCTGATAGTACAGTAGTCCCCCCTTATCCCTTATTCATGGTTTTAGTTACCCATTGTCCAAAATATTAAATGAAAAATTCCAGAATTCACCAATTTTAAGTTGTGTGTCGTGCTGAGTAGTGTGATGAAATCTTGCTGTCCCATTCCCTCCCATCCAGGATCCTGACCCTGACATCTGACCCCAAGTCTGATCCCTATCAAGGACCCCAACTTCTAACCTTTCTCTGATCCCCATTATCCAGGACCACAACCACGCCCTCGTGTTGACCTTAATTTTGATCCCTAAACCCTAAACTCCACCACGATCTCCCACACTGACCCCAGTCTTGAAACCTAAACCTTATCCAGGACCTTGACCCCAACTCTGATCTCTGACCTCTCTCTAGGCCTCTGACTTGAACCTTGACCCACCCTCTAGCCACCCCTGATGGTTGGGGCTCAGAGGGGGGCCGTCTGTTGTGGGTCGCAGGGTCTGCCCCCTGAGGCCCCACAGCACACACACCTCTGTGCAGGGCTCTGCTGCCCTGTCTGGTGGGGCCCCAGTCTCAGGGTGGTCCTGACCGCACTGTGGCCCCAAACCCGCAGGGCCCGGACTCCCACTACGGCACCAAAGGCCTGCGCAAGGTGACCCATGAGTCACCCACGACGGGGGCCAAGACATGCTTCACCTTTTGCTACGCAGCTGGGAACAACAACGGCACGTCCGTGGAGGACGGCCAGATCCCCGAGGTGATCTTTTACACCTAGGCACCGGCCCCCACGCAGCCGTGAGGACAGCAGCCTGAAGCCACCAGAGATGAGTGGACCGCCCCACGTCCCACGCCAGCCCCCACAGGCTCCCCAAGCTGTGCCCACCCCTGGCCACGTTTCTGGCCGTCTCAGTGGTGGTGAGCAAGGCTGCCTGTTAAGAGGAGCCGGGAGGAGTCTGGGCAGGCAGGGCTGTGAGACAATCCCTCAGGACTGGGGGCAGGTCCCTGGGTGTGGGCGTCCAGCCCCTGGCCCTGCCACTCCCAGACGGGAGGATGGTGTAGGCCGTCATCTTGTTGGTGTAACTGCACATAGCAATGCATCTTGGATTTCCATTTATCTGGTAGGAGACAGTGTGGGGGGGCGCCTCTAGTGCATTTGATTGGGGTCTTCCGGTCTGTTCACTGGGGACGCTCAGGCCACTGTGACCTCAGCCCCCAGGATGCAGGCCTGAGCCCCAGGGGATAGGAACCATAGGGGGCTTGCCCCTCTCAAGGCCCTGCAGGCTGGCTTTCCCGCCAGGTTCCACCCCGGCCCCCGGCCTCTCTGGACAGGCCCCTCCCAGCCCTGCAGCTGAGGGCACAGGTCTCAGCCCGTCCGCCTGGGAGGGGCGGTGCCGTGGGTCAGCCACAGTAGTCATGTGCCCGTTGGCCCATGGGACCAGAGGGTATTGCCTACCCCCGCCCCCTGTACATACTGTGTTCCCGCCCTACTCAGCCCCCCCGCCGAGGGAGCGCTCTGCCCACAGGTGCTGGAGGGCGCAGCCCCTCCCCTGAACCCCAGGCCCTCCCACGTGTCCCTGCCCCAGTGAGTCCTTCTGGAAACTATGTTCTCCCCAAAGCCATGAAAGGTGTGCCCTCTTCACACCACACCCCCAAATGATTTTTTTAAATAAAGGAAAAGAAACACCTGCCCTGACCTGTGTGCTTCTTCCTGTTGGAGCTGGCAGGACCCTGGCAACTGAGCCCTGGCACTGTCCTTTCTGTGGCTGTTCCCTCCCACATAAGGGGGGGCTCGTGACCCCTACATCTGGAGTCACTGCCTCCCAACAGACTCCTACCCTGGAGGCATCCACAGTACATGGTGGGGCTCTTGGTGGGTTGAGACCCTCCCCGCGACCTCTGTCCTGTGCACGAAAGTTCAGCGGCCTCACCCTGCCCCTGCTGTATAGCAGTGGGGGACCCTGAGGTAGGTGGGCAACATGGCCAGGGCCACCAGCAGGGAAGGCCACACCGTGGGGCTGAGCTGCCCTGGGACTTCCTGGCACTTTCCCTGACGTCAGCGGGGACCCTGGTACAGTGAGCCCTGCAGGAGTCTTAGGGTCTCTGCCCTCCAGACCTGGGGCTGCACCTGGTGTGTGGCAGGTGCCCGAAAGTGCTGAGTTTTGTCCCCAAGCCGCACCTGTGCGGGGGCGGGTAACCTGACATGCTCAGCCCTCTCTGTCACTGCTAACTGTCATGGCAATGTCCAGCATCCATTTAAAAATTACCAAGCAGCCTTAACTGGTGTGGCTCAGTGGACTGAGTGCCAGCCTGTGAATCAAAAGGTCACCAGATCGATTCCCAGTCAGGGAACAGGGAATCCGGTAAAGGTTGCAGGCCAGGTCCCTAGTTGGAGGTGAGAGGCAACAGATCGATGTTTCCCTCTCCTTTTCCCTTTCTTCCTCTCTGTCTAAAATAAGTAAAATCTTAAAAAAGAATGCATGATGACAAATGGTATGAATAGGGGGGCGTGAAATTTGAGAAGGGAAACGGGTCAGCATCATGAGAAGTGGCACCGGAAATACTGCAACTGAAGCTGTAAAGGTTCCTTACAAAACAGACTCAACACTGCTGCCGTCCCACCCGGTCTGCTCTCCACGCTCAGGGTGCCGAGGTGGCCATTCGGGGCCATCCAGGGTCTCCAGAAATCACAGTTTTAACTGCTGGAGTTCATCCTGTCGCACCTACTCATTTTGGGCAGAAATACTTTGGAACAGACTAAATTATTCAAAGAAAAGTAATGATCTTGTGTAATGTTACTACAGTTACATTTTGAGTGTCCCCCTGTTTTACTGATTCACTTGAGGAATGGCAGAAGAAAATTGTGTTAAAGACGCTTTGTAATTTTTGTAAGTGGGCATAGTAAAGACAATAATGGGGTTTATTTTATTTCAGTATTTTTTGACTTTCTTAAATTTTGTTGGCACCAAATTTAACAATGAAACACACCCAACATGGGGAAAAAATTGTCACCCAAGGACATGCTTTTGATTTTAGAGAGAGGGAGAGAAATACTGATGCAAGAGAGAAACACCAGTTGGTTGCCTCCTGTATGAGCCCTGACCAGGTTGAGTCCTGCAACCTAGGTTTGTGCCCTGACTGGGAATTGAACCTGTGACCTTTCAGTTTATGAGTCATTGCTCCAACCAAACAATACCAGCTAGGGAAGAAAATATTTTAATATTCTTGTGCAAACTGCTGATCTCTTTGTACACTGCAACTCTCCAAATTTATGAAGCTCTCAGTTTGGAGACTGCTTGCAGCCATAAACCCTGGATGGGAATGAGTTCTTTACCCACCACAGTTCACGTTTTGTTTAGACCTAATCAACACACCGAGAACACTATGCCAACAATGGCAACACACAGAACACACGTGGCTTTCAAGTGCATGGGAAACAATGGCCAGAATAGGCCATGGTCTGTATCACAATGCAACTCTAAACAGGAATCATTTATCTTACATTCTCTGACTACAGTGGAGCCAGACTGGAAATCAATCACAGGAAGACAACAACAAAAATTCTCAAACATTTGGGGATCAAGAAACACTTTTATGTAAACATACGGTAAAGAATAAACCATATGGAAACTAGGAAATGCCTGGAACTGAATTCTGCCATTACAATGCACCAAAATCTGAGGACCCTGCTGAAAGAGGGTTGAGGGGAAAACTTATACTCTGTACAGACCTTGGAAAAGAAGAGAGGTTTTAAAATCAATGGTCAAAACTGTCATCTCAAGAAACTAGGAAGTAAGCAGCAGATTCAACCCCCAAAAGAGGAGAAAGACAAAAAATGAACCAGAAAACAAACGAAATACAATCAGTTGGTTTTCTGACGAAACCATAGCAGCACCTTTTTTTTTAAGAGAGACAACAAGCCCTGGCTGGTGTAGCTCAGTGGATTGAGCACGGGCCTGTGAACCAGACAATCGCGATTCGATTCCCAGTCAGGGCACATGCCAGGGTTGCAGGCAGGTTCCCTGCAGGCCAGTTCCCAGCAGGGGACCCACGAAAGGCAACCATACATTGATGTTTCTCTCCCTCTCTCCTTCCCTTCCCCTCTAAAGATAAATAAATAAAATCTTTAAAAAAAAAAAAAGAGAGACAACAAGACCAGTGTGGGGGATGCAAAGGCCCCACTGACAGTCAACAGACAGTAAGAGGGGTCTGGGTTCTGAACGGAAATGGACGGTTGAGGAAGACCGTCACTTCAGCTGGTTAAAAAGAAACACTAGAAAAAGGACGCATTCATCACAGAAATCATATACAGGTGCAGCCACTATGAAAAAGCGGAAGGTCCTCAAAAAATGTCAAACTGAACCACCACGACCCCGCAATGCCACTTCTGGGCACATACCCCAGGGAAGTGAAATCAGGGTCTCCAGTGCCCACACCCCTATGTTCACTGGAGCATTAACAACTGCAAGGACACGGAAACTGCCCGAGTGTCACAGACGGAGACACAGATCGAGAAAAGATGGTATGTACTGTACACACATGCACTTACAGTGGTAAACGTGTGTACACACAGAGTATGATTCAGCCTTTGAAAAAGGAGGAAATCCTGCTATTTGCAACAACCTGGATGAACCTGGAGGACATCATGCTGCATGAGGTAAGCCAGATGCAGAGAGACAAGTACTTCACGACCTCGCTCACGGGTGGGATCTAAAACCACAGCCCCTACAAAAGCAAACAGAGTGGGGTCACAGGGGTGAAGGAACCTGGGAGATACTGGTCCAAGGACACAACTTCCAGCTGTGAGAGTAAGTCTGGGGGTCTATTGTCCAGTGCGGTGCCCCGTTTAATGACAGACACCGTGTTGAGTATGGGACAGCTGCTGAGCGGACAGACCTTGTGTCCCTACCACATATGCAAAGGGTAATGGCAGGGGGACAGGTGTGTGAGTGTCCTGGACTGTGGCAACTGTTCACAGTGCATACAGAAACTAGACTGTCACTCCACAAACCCAAAATTTTAAAGTCAACCAGGACTGTAAATATATCAGAGATGTGGATGCTAGGAAATCTCGAGGGATGGAATTCCAGGGAGAAGAGCCCCCAGGGGTGCAGAGGCTGGTAAGCATCCCCCCAGCACTGAGCTGGGCTAGGAGGGTGGCTGGGCTTGCTGAGGGCAGGACATTGTTTGGGAAAGCAGCCACCTACGAGGCTGATACTGCTGTGAGGCTGCAGAATGGACCGGAACCTGGAGGAGCAGGAAAAGCTTGACAGGTTCCCCCCATGGGAATGTACTTGGTGCCTGGGTGGCGAGGTTGGGCAGGAGTGAAAGGCGGAGGGAAATCTGCAGCCTGCACGTGCACAGAAACCAGAGTCCTGCTAGAATGAGGGGCTGGGCAAGAAAAACAGGACAGGTCAAGATGTGCACTTGAAGACATCTGAACTAGGGGTGAATGAAGCTAACTTAAGAGACTAGTCCCTCACCCAAGTTGCCTGGATGAAGGCATGAAGGATGAAGTGCATACTTTCTGGGGAGAAATATGCCTGGCTTCTCTCACATACAATGTTTGCAGTGCAATAAAAATCATGGAACACTGAGGGGAGAAATGCTGCCCATAAACAAGAGAGGGAAATCGCCAACAGGAGTGGATATGCAGGAGAGCTGGCCGCTGGAATGGAACAGTGCCGATGAGGCCACTGCTGCGACTCCCTGTGAGTACAGAGGGAAATGGGGCTGAGGAGTGACAGGTAGAAGGTGTCAATCAAGGAAGAGAATGCACAAAGGGAGAAACGAAAACTGCAGAACTAGAAGTACCTGAAAAGAATTTATAGGATAGACTGAGGGCAGACAAAACACATGAAGGAGAACATTAGTACGGATGCTCCTTGACTTACGCCGGCCCTGCATCCCGATGAACCCACCGTAAATTGAAAATGTTGTAAGTTGGAAATGTATGCGATACGCCTAACCTACCCAACCCCCAGCTTGGCCCGGCCCACTGCAAACACGTTCAGAGCACGGGCCGCCCTGCCCGGCATCACAAGGGTGGACCGCACTACACCGCACACTGCTGGCCACGAGAAGATCAAAACTCAAAGTCCTAAATGAGTTACCACTTTTGCATGACCATAAAGTTGAAAAACTGTAAGTCAAGCCGTCGTTAAGTTGGGGACTCTGTATACCCAAAGACTGTCAAAATAATTCACCCCCCCACCCCCCAGCCACAAATAAACCAGAACAGAGCACCAGAGACCAGTGGGGCCATGTAAGACAGTCCTACACACAGATAACTGGAGTTCTGGAGAAAACAGAAAAAAATGGGCCAAAAAGAAATACTGGAAATGACGAAAGGAAAATTTCCAAAATTGGTGAGATTTCAACCCAAAGATTGAAGCAGCTCAGCAAGTGGCCAGCAGGACAAAGAAAGCCACACACTGTCACCAAATAAAAAATATAAAGAACAAATTCTTAAAAGCAGGCAAACAAAGTTACCTTATTTTGAAAGCAAACAACATTGACAACTCAGCTCTCATCAGGGGAGTCTTTAAAACCCAGTCACCTTGCTTCACGTGTCCATTTTGAAAAGTCTGATGACACGTTCTCTTGCCACGTAAACTGTTTCGTCTCCTCGCCTGCAGCCCCGAGGCTCATCTTTGAAACTGTCGTCTGAGCAGGCTGTCCCATATGTCACGGTCCCCAGGAGCACCTTTACCTCCGAGATCCGGGCCTCCTCCTCCGCCTGATACTGAGCGTTTCCTTGAGCAAGTTTGGAACACAAGGTCTGGTTTTCCTCAAAGACTCGCACGACACAGCCTGCCTTCTCTGCCGGCCTGACATCGCTGCCACCTTCCTGACACCTCGTCCTTCAGGGCAGTCTCTCTCTGGCCCCCAGTTTTCCTGTTTCCGAAGCCCTTTCCCAGACCTGCCTTGGGTGTCTTGGCACCTTGTACTTCATTCTTCATTTCTAAAATATTTTCTCACATTTCCTTCTTGAGTTCAAGCCAATTTCCTGTTGTTTCTTGCCCATTTTTGTGCTTATTTTATGAATTTCTGATCCCAGATGTTTTTCACACCTTCAAGTGCTGTTGGGGGCAAGGTTGGCTGTCCTGGGCTTTGAGCTTTCTACCTGGGGAAGTGGGTTTCCCATCCACAGGGGAGAGGGCCACGTGCTGGATTCCCTGTAAACCCCCCTCTGGCTCTGGCCACCTGGCTGGCTAGCCCTCCTGCCCGTGCACCTACGTGGGCTGGTGGAGGGATCAGAGTGGGCAGAAAGCTGCAACACCACAAGGGGAAGTGTGGGCAGGGTATACTGTGCACACTTGGTTTATCTTCTGGTGGTTCTTTGTTGTTTGGGTGGAAAATGCTTTAAGGGTCTGTTAGAAGGCTGCTGTTGTCTTCAAAGACCTGGAAATCCTATTAAACTTTTTCCAGGAATGCTGACTTTAGCCCTGGCCAGGTATGTATAGCTCAGTCAATTAGGGAATCGTCCCAATATGCCAAGGTTGTGGGTTCGATCCCTGGGCAGGGCACATACAAGAATCAACCAATGAACGAACGCATCAACGAGTGGACAACAAATCCATGTTTCTCTCTCCTTTCCTCGTTCTAAAATCAAGAAGGAAAAAGAACACTGGCTCTTCTCATTGCCACACTGGCTGCTATGGAAGTCTCCCTGGGTGGCCCTAACAGAAGAGAACAGGCTGGGCTGCTCAACCCACAGACGTTTCTCACAACGGCAGAGGCTCCAAGTCTGAGGTCAAGGTGCCAGCAGGGCTGCTCCTGGTCAGGGTCTCATTCCTGGCCGCTGCTCGCTACGTCCTCATGTGGAAAGCCAGCCCTGGCCTCTTCCTGCCCTGACAGGGACACCAACCCTATCGTAAGGGTCCCACCTTTTGACCTCGTCTAAGCCTGATCACCTCCTAAAGGTCCCCCATCCTAATTCTATGCCCCTGGGGGAGGCGGGTGTCATCTTAGGAATGTGGGAAGACATAATCGAACCACAGCCGTCCAGGAGACCAGCTGTCCTGTCTGCACTCAAGGTCCGCTGTCCCAATACAGCAGCAGCTGCCCTGTCTCTCCCGCAAAACAGGCCGTTTCAGTGCTGCGCTCCACGCATGTGCAGCCAGTGCAGTCACCTGCGGTTTGAGTATCTGTGACCTCCTCCATTCTCATTGTTTGGTTGACACCGGTGTTCTGGCCTACACCCCAAGACCACCACCAAAGCCAGCTCTTACTTGAGTTGTTAATTTGTTTCTGACCATCCACCCCTCCTGCCAACCCTGCCCCAGATTTGCCATTACCTCTGAGCCTGTCCCTTCAGAGAGGCGAGGAAATCTGAGCTGCTGCCAGTCTCACCCAAGCTTCTCATAAAGACCGATCATACTCAGAACTGGTTTCGTTTTCTTTTATTTTTTTAAAAAAGCCCCTAAGTTCTATGGCTTCCAGGAAGCATCAGAGAAACGAAGTGCCATTTCTGTACACTTTGTAAAGCAACACCTAGATGCACACGCCGCTGCCAATGCCCCAGCGGCTCTGGCTGCCCACACGTGGCTGCCCGGCCCCTGCCGCACCTGTGGGCTGAGACAGGGCTTTAAGGCGCTTGTCTCCTGTGGCTCAGCGGCACTGGGCGTGGACACCAGAAGCCCCAACGCCAGGCAGAGCCCTGGCCCACTTGGCCACATGAGTGGCCACCCCAGGCGCCAGGAGCAGGTGCGCAAGAACACCTGTGGGCCTGCCGTCTGAGCTTTGGTGCAGCGTTTTGGTTGGGGTGCCGCCCCACCCCATCTTCCCGTTTGATTTGGGGAGGCCCACGGTGGGCACACCCCTGGCAGCCACGCCCCACAGCTCCCCCTTGAGAAAACGGCCTTTGGATAGAGGGAGACAAGCTGGACTTTATGACACTAACAGGGCTGGTGGGCTGACGGCACGGGTCGCCGGCGCCTCCAGGTCACACTACTCACTTCAGCAGACATGGCAGGAGGGGCGCAGGGAGGGCGGCCGCAGTTTTCTTTTCCTTGTTTTAAATAGTTAATGCTCTTGGAAGGGAGGACTAGACACAGGTGTAGAAATTTCGGCCAAAGTCTTATGTGAAGGAAATAACCCACGTGGGGCGGGCAGCTTGGGGCCACAGTCTATGTCCTGGCTGTGGGTCACCCGGACAAGCTCCCCCAGGAGCTGCAGCAGAAGGGTATGGGGCGCCACCGCCAGGGTCACTTGTGTCTCTGCAGCGATTTCCTCTTTCTCCTCTTGAAGAAACAGCAGCACCTGGAGTGGGAATGAGGCGTAAAAAGTGGGCATGGGTGGGGCAGGGGCAAGCTGGGCATGGGGTACCAGCTAGGCCTAAGCCATCTCCACCCCCAGATGCTGCCCTGGGTCTTACTTGGTGTCATCTGCCACCTCTACCTCTGCGGGCGCTGTGATGGGGGCATTGGAGTGACCGGCGGTGGGGTCATCCGTATTCAGCTCCCCGTTGGTAGAGTTCAGCGCCTAGGTGGGTGGGTAGCAGGAGTCATGTGGCCGCGATCTCCACCCCCCAGGCCTGCAGGTGTCCTCGGCCTAGTACCTCACCTGGTTTTTGCTGTACAGCTGGGCTTTGTCCCTAGGCTGAGTCTGCGCAGGCAGGTCGGTGTGGACTGTGCCGATGGGCGTTGGCTGCAGAATGGGCAGGACAGAGTGCTGAAGTCCGGCACCACTCTCCCCACGAACCGGAGTTTCACCCGGATCTGCACCAAGGCTCTGGGTGCCTGGGGCCTCCTCCATGTCCAGGCACAACCACCAGGTCTGGGGTCCCGCCTCCCACACCCAGGGGTCCCTACTATATGCAGGGCAAAGCCCCCTACATCCAGGGTCCTGCTCCGCCTTCCCCCACGTCCAGGCCCTACACCCTGACATAAAGGGTAAAGGCCACACAACCAGGACCCTACCTCCCCCACATCAGGGACTGCCCACATCCAAGGGAATGTGGGGAACACCTCCAGAGTCCCCCACTATACCTGGGGTGAAGCCCCCTTGTCCAGGACCCGCTCCACACCCAGGCCCTGTCCCCACGTACCAGGGGCTTCCCCGCCCAGTCGTATTCATAGTCAAACACGAAGCCGCTGCGGTCAAAGAGGTCAGTGAAGAGCTTACGCAGGTAGTCGTAGTCGGGCTTCTCAAAAAAGTCCAGGCGCCGCACGTAGCGCAGGTATGTGGCCATCTCCTCTGAGAAGAGCCGGCAGGGCTGGGGGTGGATGTGGGAGGGGGACACACAGGGGAGGGGGCTGGGGGGCAGGGAGCAGAGGCACCAAGGGGAGGGAGCACTGGCCAAGAGCCACCCTTACCTGGGAAGCTCTCGCAGAGCACCTCGATGGGCGTGGCCCGCTTGGTGTCCCCAATCTTCTGGTAGCGCTCCTTGAGTGTGTCCGCCTGTGGGGAGAGTGGTCAGTACCATCGCTGGGAGCTGTGATGCTCCCACACCCCCACCCCCATGCCCTGACCCACCTTGAGCCCCTGCCAGGGCAGGCTGCCACGCAGGAAGTACATGAACATGTGGCCCAGCGCCTCCAGATCGTCACGGCGGCTCTGCTCTGCAGGGGACGGCAGGTCAGTACGCTCCTCCCACCCTGCCAGCTCCTGCCTGTGTACCACTTACCCTTGCCTAGGTGCGTGTTGATGCTCATGTAGCGTGCTGTGCCTGTCAGGCTTTTGTGCTCGCGGTATGGGATGTGCTTCTTGGTCTCGGGGTCAATGTACTCCTTGGCCAGGCCGAAGTCGATGATGTGGATGGCGTGCTGCCGCTTGCTGCCTGGCCGCCCCACCAGGAAGTTCTCTGGCTTCACGTCACGGTAGATGAGGCTCTTGGTGTGCACATACTCCATGCGGGTGATCTGGGGGTGGGTGGGCCAGTGTCCCCATCTACCCAGGCCCTGCGTGGCCCTGCCCCCACCCCTCTCCCAGCCACAGTCCCGTCCTGCCTCGTAGCCAGGGGTGCCACAGCCCAGCCCCGCACCAGCTGAATGGCGATCATGAGCACGGTCTTGAGTGTGAACGTGCGGTCGCACAGGTCGAACAGGTCCTCCAGGCTGGGCCCGAGCAGCTCCAGCACCATGGCGTTGTACTTCCCGCACGGGCCGAAGTAGTAGACCTGAGGGACACCCTCTGAGGGCAAGCACACACAGATGCCTACAGGGGCCCGCAGCAGGCACCCACTGCCCCGACTGCCCCCCACACCAGACCCACGCTGCCCCACTGTCCCCATCTGGGTACCTGCGGTGCTGAGCTGCTTGTAGAAGCGGTACTCTAGGTGCAGCTGCGGTGCCCGGGACTTGATGGGCTCCTGGAGCGACAAGGAGGATGAGGGGAAGGGTTACCTGGGGCGTAGCATGCCCCCTCCTCCTGCCCCTGACCCCACTTAGACAGGCTCCATGTGGGGAAAGTCTCTGCTGTTGGGGGAAGAACCTGGACTCACCAATTTGATAGCTACATATTCATTTGTATAGAGATTCTTTCCTGTGAAGGAGAGAGGAATCAGCACAGCAGGGCCATCTGGCCCTCAATTCCCACCCCACCCCCAGCAGGCAAGAGACCCTTACATGACCTACCCACCTCCAAAAGGCACCTCTTGTTCCCAGTAGCCCCCCTTGAACTTGGCCCTGTCCTCCCAGGTTCTGGGAGTGAAAAGGATACCCACAAGATACCTGCACCCCTTTAGGTCCCCTCTGCTCCACATGCTCACATCCCCAGGTCCCACCCTTACTGCTGCCCTCTCCTCCACAGTCTCCACCACCACCCTCTATGTACTCCCCACCCCAGCCTCCCACCTCACCCAGGCACTCCTCCTAACCCCGCCTCCACCCATTCAAGCAGCTATCCCCAACTCGTTGGCAAGAACCTCCCCAACAAGCACCTCCCCACAAGCACACCAATGTGCTCCTATTCTCCCATCAAAATGGAGCAAAGAGCCCAACTTGACCCACGGCCCTTCTCAGAACCCACTGCAGCAAAGGAAAATGAAGACATCCACGTCCCCTAAGTATCTCCCCCTTCCCTCATTGCTCCACCCCCGGGGCCCCCATTGGTACAGTTCACTCAATGCATCCACATGGGGCCTACAGACACGTGACGAACTGCCCATCCCCACCTCCGGTGCCCACCTAGTGGGTCCTTCCTACCAGTGGACCTCAGCTTGCCTCCCTTCCTTGCCCCCCTCCCATGGTTCATCCCAGAACCTTACTCCCCCATCCTCCCCGCGACTGTGGAGTGAGGACCCCTGGCTAGAACCCCACACCCACCCTGTAAAGTTTATCATGCTCTGCACCCTCCTTCTGCACTCCCACCCTGGGACTGAGATCCCCACCCCCATGTCAACTATGTCAGGTGGTGAGACCCTCTCCACAGTGCTGGCAGGCAGGAGAGCCCAGGCTGGCTTCCCTAGGCAACACAACCTAGCAGACCACGGTAGGGGACCAGTACCTCTCAGGTTACACTAAGACCACCTGGGGCAGGCCTTGCTGAACCCACCCACCAGGGTCTCCAGGTGCCCACCAAGAAAGAGCTAATGTGCCCAACTTCACAGAACTGCACAAACGTGAGTTCCAGAACCTGATGAAGTCCAGCTTTCCACCTGTTACGTTCTCTAATGCTAACAGAGCCCTAACTGATCCAGCTACCATGGGGTGACCTGCCACACAACCATGGGACCTCCCCAGCCCCTCGTGTGCCTTAGTGAGTTACTATGCAGTGCTGTGTATACCCATACTGCCACCTCCGGTCCAGCGGCCCCTCCCTGCGTCACCCTGTCCTGACTGTCCTGGGACCATAGTGGTCCGCAAGCACGGCCCCACACTGTATGTCTGCACCGCTGCGCCTTACCTTGCTCTCAGCAGGACAGCCTGGCAGACATCTGCACTCTAGCTATTTCCACCCCACACACACGGCAGCAGACACCAGTGTTCAACCTCAGAGGCTGAGGCCAGGGCTCCCCAGTGCATTAATCTGCTCCACTGGTCATGGTCACTGCCCCGTCCTGGTGTGTGCCGAGGTGTCCACATCACTGGGACACCCAGCAGTGGGTATGTCTTCCACTCTGCTGTGGCTATTCTAGGGCCTTGGTTCCCCTGGTGGTTCAGAGTCAGGTCACTGACTTTCTCAGCCCTGCAGTGTCCTGGAGTCTGCAGACCTGAAGACGGCGACATCTCATACTAAACCATCTCGTACCCCCCGGAATTAACTTCTCCCCGAGATGCTTTGTGGCTCTCAGAGTGTTCACCTAGCCTCTGTCAGATTTATTCGGGAAACAACTGATAAATTTTGACATTCTTACAATTAGAACTGTTGGCATTCTAGTGGCGCAATCGGTTAGTGCGTGGTACTTATACAATTAGCATTTTTTAAAAATCAGTACAGAGGTCTTATTTCTTTTCAGCCTCATCATGCCATGAATCCACAGGGAACGGGTTCCAGCAGCTCAGGTTCCTTTCCACAGCGTGCTTCTCGGGGCGGAGCAGGCTGGCGCTTCAGCTGAACCCCGGTGCCTTTCTCTCGGCTTCCTCCTTTCTCTGATCGTTTTCCCTCACTCATCCGAGGAACTATCTCGACTCTTAGAGTGATTAATATGCTCAATACATACATTAATTCTCTCGGCAAGACTCCTGCCCTTGTTTGTGTACAACGCCTGGGTGACACCGTAGACTCTCCCAGTTTTGCCATGGGACCATTCGGGGGGCATTCATTTTTGAACAGTGCCCATTCCCTCGATGTCTACAGTGTCGCCTTTCTTGCAGATTCACAGGTATGTAGCCAAAGGAACTCTTATGTTTTCTAAAACGCCTAGAGAGCGTACAGCAGGCACCTCCCCTCTTTCCCTTTGTGTTCGTCATTTTGGCGAATTACTGGAAGATGGCGATTCTGGACAAAAAGAGAGCTCTTCTGATTAGCACTGTTTTTAACCCTCCATTGTCCATTGTTGCTCGAGTGGAGAACCACAGCTGGCCTCTGTGCAGATACGACCGGCAGCCTTGCTACACTGACCCCCAGCCCTCAACCTGCTTGCTGAGATTCCTCTCACTGCCACTGAGGCATGACAGGGGTCTATCGGCTGTAGTTCTTCTTTCCCAATCTTTTTACCCTGCATTTCCTCTCCTCGCCAATGTCCACAATGGGTGAGAGAAGGTACCCAGTGGTTATAACACACAACTTTTCACAGACACCAACTACCAGGGCAAGCAAACCTCCTTCTTGTCCTGGTTCCTGGGTTTTGATAAAAATAGGTGTGCCTGCTGTGTTCCCTGCACCGCCCCCATTTCATCATGGAAGTTCCAAACACAGAAAATACTGAGTGAAAGAACCTTGCGGTGAACAGCCACACCCTCACCCACTGCCTAGATAATGTAATGAACAATCCGCTGTCTGTTCTGTCAGGCATCTAGCCGTCACAAATCTCTGATTTGCAGATACATTTTACAGCCATCAGTACTGGCCCCTAAATGCTCTAGCCTGCAGGTTCAGTTCAATGTGTACTTAGAGTTCTTGTTTGTCCCACGGGAGGTGACAGTTACCTATGAAATGAACACATTTAAAGTGTGCCATCTGATGAGCTTTGGCCAACGCAGGACCGTGTGCACCCTCTACCCTTATCAAGACACAGAGTGTCCCCACCACTTACACCCTTCTTGGTCTGACCCCACCTGCACTGAGGTGGGGTCATCTGGCTTGTTCCCTCCTCCCTGGCTCCTTGTACATGGCGTGATAGGCTCAAGATTCCTGCAATGAGGTGTGTCCATGGTTCCTGCTGACAGCTGAATGGAGACCTACCCCATCAAGGGACATACCCAGTCAGCAAGGGACACCTGGGTTGTTTCCAGTTTTCTGTTACAGCAGAGCTGCAGTGAACGTGGCCCAGAGGCCTTTCTGCGGGCAGGCCGGTCACTTCCCCGAGTGTCCCTGGCTCACACCGCATACGTGGAGCACAGCTCCGGCTGGCGCCCTCTGTGCTCCCTGGCCATTTGTCGTTTGCCTACATAAAGTGTCTGTTCAACTCCCTTGCTCATTTTTAATTAGGGTGTCTGTCCTTTTATTATCAAGTTGTCATCCCTTCACGTATCCTAGACACCACGGCTTTGTCAAATAGTGCTCTGAAAATATTTCTTCCTGGTCTGTGACTTGCCTAGTCCAGCTCTTAAGGTTTTGTGATAAACATTTTAAACATTCATGAAGTCTAACTGATCCTTCATAGTAAACAGGCATTTTATTGTGTCTCAGTGACGAAATCTCATGTTTCGCCTGCGCATGAGTTCTAGGAGAGCCCAAGTCCTTGAAGTCCAGCCTGAGGTTAAAGTGAGCACGCGCGTATGTGTGTGTTTGTGCACACACAGAGGCACCTGAAGCCCGTGAATCTAGATTTCTGAAGCAGCTCAGGCGCTCTGGGCTCTGAGAGGCTCAGCAGTGCTCACGTGGCCGGTTTTAGCTGTGCGTGCAAAAGGTGAAAGAGTCTGCAAGGCCTAGCAGAGAATGGCTCCCAAGGGGCTGTGAGCAGAAGGAAGGTTCTGGAGGCCACACAAGAGGGGAGGACACTAGAGATGCAGTCATCCAGAGCAGGGAGGCCTCCATGAACTCCTCTAACCTTAGAAAGTGTCATTTAACATTTTTTTAAATTTATTTTGAGAGAAGCGGGGAGGGAGGGAAAAAGAAAGGGAGAGAAACATCAGTGTGTGAGAGAAACGTCCATTGGTTGCAGCTCACACACCCCCAATCAGGGGACTGGCCTGCAATCAAGGCATGTGCCTTGACCAGGAATTGAACTGGTGACCTTTCAGTTTGTGTGACAGAGCCCCAACAGCCAGGGCATGAACTTCTCTAACCTTAGGCTAAAAACCCACAAGGCACACACGAGGCAACTCCAGCCCATGAGTAACATCTGCTCACAACCTACCCTAACAAAGCCAAAATCAGTTCCTGATGAAGTCAAGTCGTCAGCACAAACCTCAGTCTTAAAAGTCTGTGACATATGGAACCCCTTACAATGTCCAATGTACAATAAAACATCACTAGACACATGAACAATGAGGAAATGAGGGCTGTAACAAGAAAAAACAAAGTCAAAGGCACTACATGTGTGGGTATTTTTTTAAAAGATTTTATTTATTTATTTTTAGACAGAGGAAGGGAGGGAGAAAGAGAGGAAGAGAAACATCAATGTGTAGTTGCTTCTCGTGTGCCTCCTACTGGGGACCTGGCCCACAACCCAGGCATGTGCCCTGCCTGGAATTGAACTGGTGACCCTTTGCTTCGCAGTCCACCACTCAACCACTGAGCCACACCAGCCAGGATGTGGGCATTTTCAAAAGGTATAAGCATGCTCAAGGATTTAAAGAAAAAGATGGGCAAAATGAACAAGCAGATGGAAAATCTCAAAAGAAAAATACTGGAGTCAAACGGAAGTGACAAATACTATTTATGAAATAAAAAATTCGCTGAATAGTTCCAACAATAGACTGGATACTACAATGCAGGGAGGAAAAAAGTGAACTTCCAGCAGGGCAATAAAAACTGTCTAGACTGAAGCAAAGAGAAAAAGGCCAGAAGAACACAGAAAAGAGCTTGAGGAACTGGGAGACAGCATAAACACTCCTAACATGTATAACTGGAATCTGAGGATGAGAAGACAGTGAACTGAAGCAGAAAAAAAAAAGGAAGAAATAACGGTCAAAGCTTTTTTCCAATTTAATGAGAAAGTGCCACTATACAGATCCAAGAAGTCCAGTGAACCCCAAGCAGGATAAACCCCCCAAAAACCATACCTAAACAGTGCAGAATCAAAACCTGAAACCAAAGAAAATCTTCAAAACAGGAAAAAGAAGACGTATTAGATACAGGGGTACAATGCTCAACATTAGTTACCGAGGAAATGCAAATGAAATCCACAGACAGCACTTCATACCTTCTACAAGAAAAAGCCTGACAACCCCAAAACGAAGGTAAGGATGTGGGGTGCCCAGAACTCCCATACGCTGCCTGCTGATGGGAGTGCACAACCACCCCGCAACTGACCCCATACACCTCCCCGGCGACCCAGTTCTTTAACAAACACTCACACACAAGGGCTGGAGAAGGACGATCAGGGCAGCTTTATCCACAACAGCCCAAATGTGGGCCCGGCCCAGCATTCCTGAGCAGAAGCGATGAACAAAATGAGGTGCAGTTGCACAAATGAACAGAGTAACAAAGAGCCTCTAGCTACTGACACACATAAAACATGGACACTCTCAAACACGCGCTGAGCAAAAGCAGCCAGCAGAAAAGAACACATGCCTCAATTAAAAAAAAAAAAAGTTTCAAGCCAAAAGCTGCTGTGCCCTACAGCCCCTAACACACGTGTCTGTGCTGGCCTGCCCTGTTCAGGCTGCTGCTCCAAAACCCCAAGACTGGGACCCATGACACTGGGTCCCCAAAGCCATACAGGGTACCCTTCCCTAGGCTGTAGATCAAGACTAAGCCCAGGGACATGTATTCATCCTCAAGTTTGCATGTGCATGTATATGTCTACATGCACACCCTAATGGGGAAGCATGGTAGCTCCATCCAGGAAGAGGTGGCCACCATGCTGCTTGGGCCCCTCTATGCAGGCCAGGCTAGGGACATGGGGCCACATGTTCTGGGGAGGTGCCTGGCTCTCCCTCCCCCACTGGTCTCAGTTACTGATGTGATGGCCAAGTGCCCACCCTGCGTGCCCCTCCCACCAGCAGAGAGTTGGGCTTCAGCCTGACAGTATGTAGGCTTAGAAACTCCAAACCCAGGGCTGCTCACAGCTCCTGACAAGCAAATGCCAGCAGGAGCTGAGCTTGTATCTGCTCCAGTTCAGACAATGGCCGCATCCACGTCAGCCCTCCCATGTGTGGCTCAGATCTCCCCCAACAGAGCTGGCCCTCAGACACACAGGGGCAAGGCCAGGAGTCTACCCCCCTTACCAAACCTCCTCCTTGGGGAGCAGAAACTTACACGCACTTACCTGTGTCCTGGCTGCAATAATTAGGGAGACCACCTGCGAGTGGCTATGACCCCACTGGGCAGCATTCCCCCCACCCCATCCATCCCTTGAATGCAAACGAGCGGGGCTCACCTAGCCGGAGCTCCCCGAAGTTGCCACAGCCTATCTTCTTCCCGACCCGGAAGTTGGGGCCCACCATCAGGACCCCAGAACTGGTCCCCGTGCTCCGGACGCTGTGGCTGGTCCGGCCGCCAGCCTTGGACATTCTCCGGCCCTCCTCCGACTCCCCTTTCCCTCCTTTCTTGTCAAAATCCATAAGTTTGTGGTACCCTGGCCTCTCCACGGTGACTCTGCTGCTGTACAAATCCCGGGTCTGTGGAGACCTGAGGTCGCAGGCGGCTCTTCGGGGCTAGAACACCATGGCACCTGGCGGACTCCTGGCTAGTGAGACGTGGGTGCTCGCAAGGGCCAGGCCGCAGCACTCCTCTCGGTGGCCTCAGGGTCGCACGCAGGGAGAGGACACATTCTGCTGATAGGTCCTGCTGCCTCAAATCTCGTGGCTCCCAGCTGGGGAGAAAACAGAGACATGGGTTAGAAGACTGAGACCCACCCACTCGCCTGCCCACAATTCAGCCCAGGGTCCAGAGCACAGCCTGAGGAGGTTGGCACAGTGGGATGGCATTTTGGACAGACAGATGACGGCACAAGTGTGGCTTGTGACTTTTGGGAGGTGGGGGCAAGGCCACCATGAACACCACAGGTCAAGGCAGTGTAAGATGCCCAATATTGTGTGCTGGTCTGCAACACAGCTCGAGGACAACTGCACTATGAAGAGTGACAGCCACTCAAGTGACAGAGGTCCCAGAACCAGGAAGAAAGCCCTAACCTGGATGCAGAAAGGGGCAGGAGCCACCCAGCACAAAGCCCCTTCCCCCAAGCCAGAGGGGTCATTCCTCTGAGGAGAGGAGAAGACAGACCACAGAGCACTGCTCACTGACTGACCACCTGGCCAGCTACAGACATAACAGTGACCTGGACTCGGTGACACCATGAGGCTTTGGAGGCGAGGACCCCAGGGGTATATCTCAACTCATGATATGGGGCTTCCTTACCCTCAGGCAGGAACAAAGCCCTGGGAATGATGAAAGTGGACAGAAATGGGGGGCCTCTGAGAACCAGACCAAGGACAGAGCCTGGTCGTGGCCTTTTCCTCTGGTTCCTGGGATGGCAAGCCCCAAGCCTCAGAGACAGAAAAGGCAGGTGCTCCATGGAGGAGAATCCTGGCCATGTGCTCACGAAGAGGAAGGACTACAAGACAGCAGGGACCCAGAGGCGCAGTGTGCGCATACACCTTCCTGTGCTCTCACACATGTGTGCATACCCCCTCCTGTGCTTACACACCCACAGACACCCTTTCCGCATGTTCACACACATGCACCCCACACATATGTCCACATATAGGCCTCCTGAGGGGCTGCATGCATAACCAGGCACAAGGAGGTGCCTGACTTGCACGTGACCCTTGGGCCTGAGCACAGCCAATATGGAGAAGGGATGTGCCCTGTAAAAAATAAAGGTTCTACATACATCTCAGTCCTGGCACCGCACAGGCTGTGGGGAGACAGCAGCCAGCCAGGAATGAAGATTCTGGCACACTTGCTGCCCCACTTGGGCCTATGACATGACCCCAATGACCCCTACTACAGGGTGCCTGAGCTCCAGGTAGCCCCTTACAAAGGCCAGATGTGCAGTCATTGGAAGGGAGCTAAGGGCCTGATTCCTCCCCAAGGACACCAGCACCTGCCCCATTCACCCCACAAACAGGAGCTGCCACCCCAAACCTAGTGGGCAGCAGAGACTCGAAAGGGCTGTGGGTGGTGCTGCCTCCCCACCAGCCACATGGGGGCAGTCTGGGTGCTCTCCTAGCTGCTCTGAGCCAGATGGGACCTGCAGGGGGTAGCAAGAGTGAGCCACGCACTGAACAGCGGGGGGGGGGGGGATATGCACGGAAAAAAGTCCAAGGCAGGGCTAGGGCCAGAGCTGAATGCTCAGCCCAGCACACCTGGGTGGAAGCAGGTTACCTAAGGCCTAAGGGGAAGGAGGTGTCCAACCTCAGTCCAGGCATAGAAGCTAAAAGTAATCATCCTGGAGGATAGGACTTCCCACTCCTCGCCCATTCCTGGTAGGCCTCAACCACACCAGCACGGCCCCCACTTCCAAGCCCCCAGCCTCCCCCAGAGGGAAGGCCATCCAGGGGCGTGGGGTCCACATGGACCCTCACAGTCAAATTCAACTTTGTGCTGAAATGATCCCCAGAAGGCCCCTGGAAGCTGCTGTCCCACCCATGTCCACACTGAGAAGGTCTTGCAGAGAACACTCCAGTTCAGGGCTGTCTGTGCTCCTCTGTCAATGCGCACCTCAGGGGAGTTACCTGCCCTGTTCTTTTTGGGGTCCTCCATCTTGTCAGGGCCAGGGGCCGGCTCCCCTTCGGGGGCCCCAGAAACCCCCTTCTCTGACCATCTCCAGTCAGTGATGTCACAGTCCCTGGCTGACATCACCAGCACAGCCCCAGGGCAAATCTGAGGGAGCTGCGGGCAGCCTCTCTCCCCGGGGAACAGCCCCTCACAGGCCACACAGTGGGCCCCACTGTGAGTACAGCCTGGGATGTACCCAGACTCAGGTGATCCTGGCTACAGCCCCTCTAGACAACTCTGGACACACGCACGCGTCCCCCCGAAGTGGGAGCCCACCTCTGCCTGGGGACTTGGTGACACAGAAGCAGGACCTCCTCCCCAGGATTCATCCAGGGCCAGCAACATGGCACCCCAGGAGCCACAATGAGCTCCCAGTGTGCCACATCCTAGCGCCTGCACACTGCCCCCCGCCCCCGCAGAGGGACACAGATGGGGAAGACATACCCAACCTGGGGCCATGCAACATCACGTCATGTCAGAGAGGAAGTGCCCCATGATGACTGTACAGGAACCAGCTGCCCAACCTCCAGGGACAAGTTCAGTGTCAAAAAGGATTAAGCAGAAATGGGTCTTAGTGCACCAAGTTATAGACCAAGGGTGATGAGGAAACAGCCAGACCTGGGGTGGGGGGTAGGGGGGGAGTGCCATCAGCAGGCAAGCAGGCAAGCACAGACATGGCACTGAGTGTGGCAAGCAGGTGGCCTGAGGTCATGTATCAGTGACCCAGGGTGTGAGCACCAGTCAATGAGGCTGCAGAGGGCACACACAGTTCCTGTCTGAAGTCCTGACCAGCCCGGATGGAGGAAAAGAGGAAGGCCTATGAGAAGGGACAGTTGTCACTGCACCCATAATGGAAAGGTGGACCAGATGTGCCAACATTCTTGGGAGAGGGCCAGCGATTCACAGGCAGTGGTCATGAGGTGGCATGATGGTCCCACACAGTTCAGGAAAAGCAAACATGGCCATAGGTGGCAGTGAGCCCATGAGGAGCAGAGGAGATTAGGTACTTTCCTTGCATGCTTTCAACAGACTTGAAATGTTTCCAAAATTAAGATTACAAAAGACAAGGTTGCTACTACAAACTCTTCCACCTCAGACCATGACAACCAAAAACCAAGCACAACAGTCTGGGTCGTAAAAGTGAATCTCCTGGACAGGTGCAGAATGGGAGCGCCCTCAGCATGTGGCAGCTCTGGAACTGGCTGGCACTGACTGCAGGCACCGGCTGTGACTCATGACGGGATCCACAAAAACCTGCTGCAATGCTGCAGAGAACACCAGAGGGGACAGAGTTCATGGGCAAATGTAGGTAACTTGGGCCGGGCCACGGGCCTACGGGTAGGAGGTGGGGGAGCACTGTACTCTCCCACACTTGGGCACATCTGAAAATGCCCTACTGAAGAGCTGAGAGGAGGAATACCAGGTGGGCTGGGAGACAGCCAACAGGGAAAGCAGGCTCCTGCCCAGGGATATGCTGCTTGATGACAGACACCATTGACACCTGGGGCTTGTGCACACCGTCCTGGACAGTACATGTCCAGCATGTACTGGCAGCTGCTTTCTCTGCACAGGCCCCCCGACACCTGGTTAAGCCCTCATCACACCTTACACTGAAGGATGTCCCAGCCCACATGATGGTCTCTGGTAAGGCCAGACCCATCCTGGGCATTTCTGCTACGTGGTGTAACTACACTTCCAGCACTGTATCAGTCCTTGGTGTGGGCTGAGATGTGTCCCCAACAAGACAGTTCCTGACCCCTAATGTCTGGGCACATGACCTTATTTATAAATTAGGGTGAGTCCTAATCTGTAACTGATGTCCTTATCAGAAGAGACAGAGACACACAGGAAAGGAAGGTCATATGACAATGGAGGCAGAGACTAGAGAGATGGGGCCACAAGCCAAGGAACTCTGGCAACCACTAGAAGCTGGAAGAGGCTGGAAGAGGCAGAAAGACACCCCCCCCCCCCCAATCCTCCTGGAGAGAGTGCGGCCCTGTGACGGCTTGATCTTGAACTTCTGGCCTCAAAGGACTTCTCAATGGAGATGCCTGACCAGCACCCCAGCAGGAACACAAGAGTCAGTGTCAGGAGTGAGAAGCGGTGAGGACAGCAGGGACCCCAAAGTGACAAATGAGCAAAGCATGCATGCCCTTCAGTGTGATGAATACCAGGAAACCTAAACTGGGGACGTCCGCAGGACATGCCAGTCCAGGCTATCCTCACAGGGAAGAGGAAACCACCTCAGCCAGAGGGGTGGGCCTAAGAGCAGCGACGAGGGAGAGTCACGTGTGGTCTTAGTGGGGGCCTGGGGCAGAGACACGCCGTCAGGGAAAACTGAGGAGAAATCCAAGTAAATATGGACTTTACTTATTTAATGATGTCTCAATCCTGGCTCATCAGCTGTGATGAAGGTGCATCCGCTTCACAGTAATTCTGTGATTCTAAAACTGTTCTAAAATAGTTTATTTTTAAAAACCCAAACCTACAATCTCCTCTGGTGGCCTCCTTCCTGCCCTTCCCTCAGGCACACGCGCATGGTGCCCACTCACGGTCCCTACTCGAATGTCACCAGTGAGGCCACCCCCTAAGCCCACCTCGACCCCACCCCTGAACCCTTCAGCCATGTGGCAGCACATATGTGGTCACTGTGTGCCTGCCCCTTAACAACGAACTCCTCAAGGACACAGAGGCCTTATGTGTGGCACCACGCAGGGCCTCAGAGACCCTTGAGCAAGTGATATGAAACAGACCAACAGAACGCAGAGAAAGCGGGCAGAGCCACAGAGGAGGCACAGACGGCCTCCCAGACACACTGCACTCCGCCTTTCCAGTACACAAGCAGATTAAAGTAACAGCGATGCTCTCACTTCTCAGCCCGTTGGGGTTAGAAAAGAAGTCACATTCAGTAGCAGAGAGTGTGGAGAATGGGGACTTTGATTTTTAAACAGGAACAATGACATTTAGGTAAATGAGACTCTCTATCCAGGCCACACAACCGAGAGGAATGGCCAAAGCAGCACTAGCGACAGCCATGCAGTGCAGCCCTGTCCCCACCCTCTGCAGGGTTAGGAAACAACCCGTGCACAGAAA